CAAATAATCTGTTCTAAATGAAATAGAAAATATTATATATTTTGGAGTTTGGTAATAAATATGTGTGTTCTTAGAATTTTGTGTTTTTGTTTAGCGTAATGGTGATAAATTCACTTTTTCTAGTTCTGACACTTTTGTATAACTCTGCCGGTCACCCCGCTCCCACTAGCCATCCTGTGAATTTTTCTATAAAGAAGGGCGCATTATTTTTAGTAGCCCACGGGCGCCGAATATCTTAGAACGGCCGTGGATGTATTTTATTTAATTAAACACTTGTGTTCATCGAAACTACGTTAATTGAACGTATTTACTTTACAGAAAATTAGCGCGTGCAAAAACCGATAATCTTTAATTGAAATATTCTCTCTGATGACAAATAAAGTTGCCATTGGTGAAACGAAGTGAGCCGGGAAATCGTTAGATTTCAAGCGGTCGACGAGAAGGCACTTAATGTTAGATCAATCCATACAGAAATTATTGTTGAAGTAGAGTATCAAAGGAAAAATCAGGGTCAGCCGGTTAGTTGCTACTCGCGATGGAACGGAAGCAAAAGCGTCGCCTGATACCGGAACAGAATTGGCGAATATGTGGCATCATTTGCCTCTGTCAATTCACTTTTGTCATCAGCTGCGTGGCGTTGGTCTATCTGAGCGTGGCGATCTACATGCCGTCCCACAGGTAAACGACAAGGTGCATCGATTAATTGATCAAGGCCGATAATAATTAAATTATCGTCCTGTTGGCCTTAATTTTTTCAGAGATCTATGTCTCCTGCATTTATGACTTCATTTTCAAACAACCTTCCGTTTGTTTCTACCACTATCAAATGTAAAAGGTCACTTATATTTTTCTCTGTAATATAGTAGCTCCGTCACATGTATGCAATTTAGCGAAGGTCGCTGCAATTTGTAAGATTCGTTATCTGATAGTAGCGTAATGAATGTAATCATAGATCGGTGTACTTAGAATTTATAAGTACTAAGAACTCTATGATCTTGGATACTCACAGGATCCTCGAGACAACGAATAACAGTTGAAATTGAATTTTTGCATTACGAACGTTTTTTCATAATCATTATGAATCATTAAGATCCGAGTGTTCTACTTTCTGATGTTATTATTTATGCGCATTTCTATATTCCGTTCATTTTTCAAGTAAATATCATTTGATCGCTTGATAGGGGAGGTAAACTGGTCCCGGTCAATATCAATGTAATATTAACACGTTAAGCGCGGCGTCGGTCCTTTGGGACCGATAGTGAACTTTTCGTTCAGGCGGCGTCGGTCCTTTGAAACTGACAGTGAACTTCTCGTTTTGCCGAAGTCGGTCTCAGGAACTGGCAGTATCAAAGTTAAAAAATAAATGATGTAGTTTTAATGAATTTACTAAAACATTCTAAGCAAAGATATGCTTTGACTTCACATGTATTACAGAAAGTGACGACTTTCTTGATCAAATTTCTGGCTGTCTTACGTCCACATCTTTTTGCTGCGCATTACCATAGTCCAATCGGAAAGTGAAATAAAATCGTCACTAAGATACATGTTTTATACAATTATACTATGTAACTCAATATTTGTCGAGTGACCGAAACCCGACGCAGCGCGTGAACGGAAAGCTCAGTAAAATTGGCACGGCGTTTAACGTGTGAACCACATTTATTGAATTGCCTTAGAACGGAATACTGTCACGTCGTTCAGATGTCGGACCCCAGGCCGGTAAGATATTAATGAAACCGATGGAATTAATTCCCAGAGCCTTTCACGCGGGAATCGATCCGGATCCGGTCATGTGCCAAACCGTTGATACCGCCTCAACTAATAATTGTGGTTGGGCGAGTTGCGGGGAATGGTGCTTGACGAAAACAAGCGGATTTTGTCCTCAGATTCACGCAACTGTCAGAAGAAATGGGACCGACATCGTTTTCGAGAACTGCACGAAATTTGGCAGTATATCTTGTCCACAGGTACGTCGTAAATTTTATTTGAAGCGTATGGATTGATTTGTTGTTTTCCCAACAAATACGTGGTGGAACACAGTAAATATGTGATATCATTATTTATTTTGAATTTTTACATTTACGCGCGAAAATAC